TGGGGAGTAAGCGAATGGAAGCAAAATTTTGCGAACGGTGCTGGTCGCGAACCGAATTGTTCGTGAACAGAAGCGTTCGTGACCCGAGGTACCACCTTATAAGTTGAAATAGATAACCTAATATCCCGATCTCTGGGGGGAGACGATTCCAGCGAAGATACCCGCCCCAGGTCCTGAGAGACGCACTGCTGCGTTGACCAGACCCAGCGCACCCCCTGCCCAATCGCCTTTAGCTCAGCACGTGGCAGAGAATAAATCCGGAGGAAAAGGAGAACGGAGAGCGGGACGGCAGAGGCCGGCGGGCACTTGCTCTTCTCTCCGGACCCCCCACGTCCTGCAGCAGGGCGTTCCAGAGGTCCATCGCAGGAGGACACGGCAGCCTCTGGCCAGGCGCGTCCAACAGCCGCAGGTGCTAGTAAAGCCCAGGAAGTCCCCTCGTGTCTCTGGCGTGCAGATTCCAGCGTCTTACCTGTACGTACTGCAGAGTCTGTTTCCAGGACACAAGGTGAGGTAGGGCTGGTAGACTGGCTGGACACGGGAGGTGAGGTGGGACACGGTGTGGCTTCTCACCACCACGGAGCACCCTCCACACCTGTAAGCCAGAAGCACAAGACGACAACGCAGGGTCAGGTGCAATGGGGGGTGTTGTGCAGGCTGGAAATCTGATGCTGGCCTCTTAAAAGAAAATAATCACTTAATGCCATGGAGCGGGGTGTCCAGAGGTCAAAAAAGTCAAGAGCAACTGAAGCGCCACCTGTTTCTTGCGCCACGCGTGCGACACACATAAAAAACAGGCTGAGCTTTGATCACACCATTGTGATTGCCACTTCGACTTAATTTTTTCTCCCAAGTTATTTATTTATTGTATTATAAAATGCAAATAATATATTGTAGAATGCAGGTATTAGCTGCATTCTATAATATTATATTTATGCAATATAAACTTGAAATCATTAACACTATAATGATTTAGATAATTTAAACCTTAAAAGGTAAAGAAAATAAAAGGTTTATATCAATGTGAACTAGAATTTCAAAAATATTAACGAACAGAAAGTTGTTTGAATTGTACAATTAAAGCTAAGTGTGGCATTGACAGACAACTGCAAAGTGCATTAAATTATTTTATAATATAATAAAGGTTTCTATCTTGAATTTAATACTTAATACTAAGGTCTCCACTGTCTTGTTATTTATTATTGTTTCTAAATGTTAAAAAGAAAAGACAGAAAAACAAATCAAAAAGGAAAAAAATTAAACGGCACTACGAATGCCTTTCCAATACAGCTTGACCTGTTTGACCATAGCCTGCGGAATTAAAAAAAAAAAATAGTTGTTAAGCTGAAGAAAATATAACCTTTTTTCAACTGCTTGAAAATGTTATTTATTTATTTAATTTCTACAGCCGCCCATCTCAACCAAGCGACTCTGGGTGGTGAACAATTCTAGAACAATAACAATTTAACTTAATTTTAACAATTAAGCACAACACAAAAATAAATCTATGCAGCAGCTGAGAAAATTATCATAATAATTATCGATAGAGCCGAGAGACAGGGCCCTTAACACATCTGGGGCCCCAGGCCCA